ATCCTCCTTAGTAGTTATTTCGTCTAGATCACGAATCTCCACAGATATCTCGTGGGCGAGGGCTCTGATCTGCGCCTGCTCGCCAAGTACCTAACATATCTCCTTTTGATATGCTCCCGTGCTTGTCATCTGCGCTTTCTTCATTTCCAGAAGAATTTCGCCTTTAGCTGTCTTCCTAATCCGTGATACGTTCTCTCCAAGCTCTTTTAGAGTATCTTACTTTTTGACAGCCCTAAGAATATCGCTATAAGACATGTTTCCAGCCCGTGCAATGATTATTGCATCCGGTCTCGGACGTGGAACAAAGGTTGCTGTCTTTTTCTCGTTCTTCGTCTTGCGCTTCACTTCTGTCCATCTTTTTTCACTCTCGGAGTCCTTCTTTTCATTTCCAGGGTTGCTGTCCTCATATCTTTTGCTCCCATTAGCCATATTTAGTCCTGCTCCATGATTGGCTTTTTTCTTAGGCGGTGTCCTTCGCACTATCTGCTCATCCTCGCAGGGCCTCTTAGGCGTTGAGTCTGTCGCCATGGATCTCAGGGGCACATTTCTCCTGCTTTCTTTACACTTGTCGAACTCCTTTTGGGCGCGTGCATGAAGCTTCACCACGGAGCTAAGCAGGTCCCTTATTTGGTTGTTTATAGACCTCTGTGGTAGGCTCATTGCCTCAGTCAACTTTTTTATCGTCTTCCCTAGCTCCGTCATAACGTCACCAGCCGGTTGTGTCACTTCCGCTAGAGGCGCGCTGTCTTGCAGCGAAGGGGGCGACGATCTCGCTCTTATAGGCTTTTCCACTGTAAGCACTTTTTTGGCGATCTCACCAGTCTTGGTGCACGTTTAAAGGGGTCAGCCTCGACGCTGACTCCACTATTGGTTGGCGTTTTCCTAAGCAGATCCGTTTCTGCTATCTTGCTATCAGGACTTTGAGTGCCGCTGCTCATAATTATCCATTCGCTTTACCAGTCCCGGGAAACACGGACGGACTGGCGCTCGCCCGGGGCAACGCCGGCTACTACTCCTGCCTCCAATACACACTCCCTGACCAAGGACCGAAATGGCTGTTTGCTGATACACACCACGGCTGACACCTCGGCAGAGCAAAGCTCACATCACCCTTTCCATTCCATCAGCGGAGACGTCGCTGGGGAAATTTCCAGGGACTCCCAATGCGCCGCGTTGTGTACCGGTCAATTTGTTTTATCAGCCGCACCTTACATGGTGAACAGACGCTGACCAGGGTCCGCCGCGCCTGGATTTTGTATAATTCAACACCTATTTGCAAGAGGCGGCGTCGATTCGCCACTGTCACAGAAGTATCATCGGACTCAACGGCTCTTATACCGCATATTCCGCTCCTGTCGCTCATCGTTGGGGATTGCTTATTCCTCTAAACTTATTTCGCAACTAACCTGTTACTACTGGCCGTCCGGCTATCCGCGACCTGCCGACCACCCCGGAAGCTTTGAGCTAAGCTATGGCAACTATCCCACCGGGATGTGTGTGTGTGTGCGTGCGTGCGTGCGTGCATGCGTGCGTGTGTGTGCGTGTGCGTGTGTGTGTTTTTTTCTTTTTTTTTTTGTTTTCGGAGGGGGGAATCTTTGGAAGATACCGCCATTTTTCCGGGCGGCATGCACGATTCGTATCGTTCGCTAAAGGTGCACCTCATTCGGGACCACGCACAGTATTAGTATTATCTAACCATACTGGACTTGCGAAACAATACGCCTACGTAACTAAAACCCTTAACTCCGGCTGCTGTAGCTTGTATTTGGCCCTGCGGGACCGCTGTTAAGCACTACTTCGCAGGGCCAAGCTGGGCTATAATGCCTCTTCACACACTTTCTGAGTTCTTGCAACGCTATCGCGGCCCATTCTTTCATTTTAGCCCATACCAACCTCGATTGCAACATATGACTCACAATGTATTTGTTACGTGTTTCACCAGCATGTCAGCCTGTCTGTCTAAGTCGCTTGCAGTACCTGGGTGACAATCTAACATGAGTACCACGGAGCTAAGCAGGTCCCTTATTTGGTTGTTTATAGACCTCTGTGGTAGGCTCATTGCCTCAGTCAACTTTTTCATCGTCTTCCCTAGCTCCGTCATGAGTACTGTTATACCGGCATAACAGTATGCACGACTTGCAACCTCACAGTTGCACCTACGTACTAAATACCTCTCCACTAACTACCACTCTCCCTGCGGCATTATCAATGAAGTATTACTTCGCGGTATGGCTCTCACTCGTCACTGAATTTTGCATCTTAAATAGCTGTTTAGGCCAAGTCTCCAGTCTATCTTCTTTTACAGCGGGCGAAAAGTCCTAGTTTCCGCTCCTCTCTACTATTGTGCTACTTAGCGTGGTCGGAAAGAACGAGTTTCCGATTCAAGCTGGCATGACATCTTCTAAGTTAATTAAATATCTGGCGAGGCCAAGTCTCCAGTCTATCTTCTTTTACAGCGGGCGAAAAGTCCTAGTTTCCGCTCCACTCTACTTGTGCTACTAAGCGTGGTCGGAAAGAACGAGTTTCCGATCCAAGCTGGCATGCTATCTTCTAGACGAATCCCACCTTTGCTGCCACTCATTTATGCATTGTTGCATGACTTCTTTTCGCTTAGTAGGGTTGTGTCTAACTTCCGAAGCGGCTCTGGTTGCTAAATCTACTGGCCATCTTCCAGCCAACAGGTTTGCGACTTCGTCTGACACTGTTACAAGCGCACTACATACTCTTAGCGACGCCAATCTATGTACAGCAGCTGGTGCTCTCAGATACGCCGGTACCAAAGTGGCATCTGCGCAGATTGGTGCCGCATACATTAGAATAGACGAACTGACGCTCGCAAGTAATTTTCTTCTTTGTTGCCTCGGGCCTCTTATATTGGGTATAAGTCTTGCAACAGCCGCACCGACCTTACCTGCTTTTCCGCTGGCGTATTTCAAATGTTCCTTGAAGCTAAGTCGGCGGTCCAGAATGACTCCAAGGTATTTAATTGTTGGCCTGGATTCTATTATGCAGCCACCTACTCTCACTTGTATGGCCTCTACCTTTTTCCGGCTGGTCATTAGCAGGGCCTCTGTTTTGTGGTCTGCTAATTCCAGTTTTGCCGCTAGAAGCCATGCTTTCACGGACGCTATAGTTTCGTTGCATCTTCGTGTTGCGTCAGACAGTTGTTTTGCTACCACTACAATAGCTATGTCATCAGCATAGCCGACCATGGATACGCCCTCTGGTTTTCTTACTTTAAAAATGCCATCGTAAATTATA